CCCCCCCCGGTTTGTACTTATTTCAGAGGCAATCTTGAAAGTTCAGTTTAACACTATAAAAGCTACAACCTCATTTGTAAACCTGCTTACAGACTCAGAGTCAGCCAAACGTTTGTTTAATCCACATATATTGGTGGGATTTATCGATGTAACTGCATGCTTGTCGTCTAAGAGCATCATCCCCGTAATGTAACGTGTAACAGCTCCAGTCGTTTGGTGTACTGTGGAAAGATGGATCACATTTTTACACGCATTTTGTAAACATTTTGGCTCTGATGCAAAAAGCCTCACAAGCTGTCCTCAGTTGAAACAGATTTGCCATCACTCGCTGCCACTGGCTAAGTAAACTACTTTGTGGATAATCCCTAAGTCTACTTTCTGAGCACTGTTGGACCTCAGTGTTTACATTCATTGCGAAATGTGCTCCAGACATAACTTTCACAGAATATTGTTAAATGTGGAGTTAGCTTCAGACTAAACACCTTGTAGTTTCACAGAGCTGCAAGTTTAGCAAATTGATTCCGTTTAGCTTTTGTTTTTGCTGCAAAATACTGCAGGATTTAATCAGGTAATATGTATTTTACTTCGACATTCATCCAATTCGATTTAGAAATGCTTTATTTATCCCCAAAATTGAGCCTTTTCTTCTCGTGAGTTTACTGACCTAAGGTATTTGTCATGTTTTGGCTGCGGTAACACAGTGATTTTCCATCTTTTGGGAAGAAAGCATTTCTAATTCTAATTCTAAATTGCAATGAAATTAGTTGGGTGGCCGTAGAGTATGGTGCAGCCAGTCTACTATGCTACGATTGCTCTGACTCAGCAGAGAACTGTGCCAAAACATATGTCTTTACTTTTATTAGGTTATTTTCCTAGAAGTCCCTGTTTTCCACCTGCTGTTTAGAAATTATTTATTTCCAGCTTGTTGTTTGTCTGACTTTCTGTGAGGGTTAACATACCTTTTATCAGTATGGCCTCATTTTGCTTGAACCACACAAAAAAAAGCAATGAGACCAACTGACCAACTGCCCTGGATGTAACAGAAAACAAAACACTACAATGTAATATAATAAATCATAAAAACAAAGATAAATTCAGTAAAAGTGACCTGATATTTGTGTTAGAGGTACAAAGCAAACGTTTCTCATTTTGGTCTCCTATTTTTCCTTTCTGTCTTTGTAATAAAATACTTTTTGCAATCAGCTTTTAAGGACTTCTTGTTCGCTGCAATCAAAAACATAAATCGCGGATTTATTCCATGTACATCTGCACCATGCTGCTTTCATCAAAGAACTTTGTGTGCTTTTAGCGTGCGACTGTCAGCCGCATATGGGCGTATCAGTTTTTCAGTCTTTCATTGCCAGTTGTTGCACAAGCATCTTTTCCATGAGGCATCTCTCTTTCAAGCCAACATTCCAGCCACGGAGGCACTGTCAGATAGGAGGAAATGATAACTACTTAAAACATCCTCACCATGACACAGAGACTCCTCGTACTATCTGACAACCTTTGAGAAAATGTTGGCCCCTGAGCAACAATTCAAACAAGTAGGTGTGTCAAAAAGCACTTATCACGATTAGCAATTAAAATGTGTCATTAAGTAGTTAGATGGTAATCATTATTTTAAAATATTTGGCTTTTAATTTTAGAAAAGAATACGTTTGGGCTGGACACAGTGTGCTTGCTGTCTCTGTGTTTGATCTCAGCAGCCAACCACAGATCCATTAATAAGTAAAATTGGATTTTTCCATTGCTAATATTCTCTCCCACTCTTTCCCCTGATAACTCATGCTGGCACTCTGAGTACTGAGAGTAAATCAGGCAGAACAAATGTGAATCTGTGTGAGTCTCAGGTCATAAGTCTCCAAGACCCTTCAGTTTACTTCATTACAGCCTGTGCTGTAATTTAACCCATCAAATCTCCCACCTGCTCCATTTTACCTGTCACTTTGGCTGCTCTAACAGAGACACATGACTTATTAACAGAGTAATTATGCTGGGGCTAAAACTGTATAATAACATGTCCCACGTGCACAGCAGTCAGATTCACATACATTTTGGCAAATGGCTGTAATTCAGATATATAGTGGGACCTATAATAAACTTTCGGTCTACACAAAAAGAGCGATGCTTACTGTAGCAGTTGGTAGAGTCTTGAGTACCATTGATATTGCCGGAGTCATCAATAGTTAGGAACCACTGCGTGCCACTGAACAGTTGTCGTATGCGCACATCTCCTCCCTCCATATAGTCATAATTCCTGGTGTGGCGCTCGTGTTTGGAACAGTTCATGATGGCAGCAAGTTGTTCTGGGGTGCAGTCACTGTAGACTACACACACACTGCCAAACAGAAAGATTGCATGCAGGTACAGTCCCGGGAACAGATTTTGAAGGTTCCATGTCAGCATCCATTTGCGCATTATAATACAATGCAGTGGGGATCAGTGAACAACATACTGAAATACAAGATAGAGATCTGCGCGTCGTTCCTCAGCTCAGGGATCTCCTGACCCCTCACTTGTGACCTGCTGGTTTTTGTTACTGCAGCACTGCTTCCTGGCGGGGAGGTGAGACAGAGTGGCTGTAGAGGAAGCAGGTTGGCAGAAGTTGGCTGATTGTATCACGAGATTATGCCCCTCTTTTAAACTTCAGCGACGGCGCACATCTACTGCTCCATCTTCTTGTCCCTCAAGCGGCATTGTAGTCCAGTTCAGGAAGTATTATGCAGAATATCACTGTAATAAAGAAACAATGCATTTTAATACTTAAATACAAAATTACATTTTCAATCAACTTTTAAAATAGCTTCTGGTTTTCTGTGTTCACACAAGTATGTTTTGTACATTTCCAAGCAGTAAATCAAAAATTTGGGTGATGCAGATATATATCTCCCTCTCATGGATCCAGAGCATGAAATATTGCATCACTGGTGCGGTCTATAATTCCTGTACATACATACATCATTTGAAACAAGCAAAATATATAGCTTTAATTTGTAACAAACAAATCTGTATTGTAATGACTTACATGTGCTCTGAGTGGTGACAGGAGTTGGCAGAGGTGCGCTCCCTTTCAGCAAGAGTTTTAATTTGAAGGCTCTTTAGATCTAAAGCTGCAGTCTCAGTGGTAAACCAGACCCAGTGATGCAGTAAAGTTAAGCACGAACTGGGAGCTTCTGTGAATTCCCATGGATGTTTCTCGGATTCTGGCAGACCGACTCTGTGCATCGTCCACTGTCGTTGTGCACTCTGCTTAGATAAATGCCTCCTGCTGACCTCACTTGAGAGCAATTAAATCCCAACCAGTCAGCTGTCCCTGGCTGATATGCAATGAAGAAACACCCTCTGCCTGCCTCTCACTGTCACTCAACCACCAGACATGAGAGGGAGCTATAAACTCTTGGAAGACTGAAATCACAAGTACTTTAAGAACATTTGCATGCTTACTCACTCTTGCAGACTCACTCTTGTTACAACCCTTCTGTCTTGTCCAAGAAACATCTTGTGCTTAAATAGACTTGCACTGTGCGTGCCACAGATCTCAGACTGACTCACATTTATTTTATTGACGGTTACAATATTCGCTGTAATGACAAACCTCAAAAGAATTTCTTTCCTATTCAATTTAAATGTCATAATTAATTTGCGGTTTTACTCGGCTGCATTGGATCACTGGTAAGGGGTTTACTGATTGAAGTTAAAAAAAAAAAAACTTCAAAGAAGTCCTTTAGTTTTCTTTCTTTTTGATTCTTAAAGTGGCTAAGGTTATGACTGGCAGGTATCCGTCCAAGCGAGAAAAACAGAAGACGTAACAACTCAGAAGTAGTCGTCTCAGTGTCAAGGGTCATACACTCTTTCACTTTTTATGTTTGTATTTAAAGCCATAAACTGTTGCCTTACATGCCTGGTGTTTTCCAGGACGCACAACTTCAAAAGTTTATATGGGCCCTAATGATGCGCTCCCCTGGGGAGCTCAGGCCTGCAGCTTGAGAGAGTGGGACCTCTGGTCGCAGCAGGTTTCCTTCTTATCTGTAAACTGGCAGTTGTAAAGACCTCATTCTTTCCTGTTCGTCTGTCCCCTCTATCACCTCAGAGACAATTTGAGTTGTGTTTTTTTTTTTTCAGTACATGAGCCAAGAAATTATTACTTAATCTGTTACAAACACCAGAAAAACAGACATTAAAATAAATGCTAAATGCCCAATCTATATAAATCAACATGAACAGACATATAATTCCATATATGTTTTCAGGTCATCTGAAGACTGTGAAGTTTACAGGATCCGTGTCTATAAAATCCCAAGGTTCTCATGGTGGGTGGATCTGTGTTGTCTGGGCAGGTAGCACCTAGTACATCCCCCTGAGGCAGAGTGTGTCCGTGAGAGGAACCAGACAAGGTGTTCCCAAGACTGAAAAAAATCCCTTCAAAAGAGAGAAATGACCTTACCTGGAATTTTTAACACAAAGGTTAGAGATGTAGTTGGTGAGCCACAAAATACCAAACAGATCAATTGTACAGTTAATTCTGCCCCAAGTGAAGATACTGACATGCTCTTTCTTTAGGCCCTGTTCATATCAGGCTGACCGAGCTCTCGACTTACTGGTGTACAGTCTCACCCTACTAACCTACAAGTATTCATCAGCTTCAGCTGAAATGCAAGCAGATCACAACGATGCATATATTAATAGCATGGACCTAACTTACCCAAAGGAGCTCAGATTTTAGTTGTTTTGCTTTCATTTCCAAAAGGAGCCAGTTGAAGCGAGTGAGCCATCGGATTAGTATGTCTCCCTGTGGAGGCATTATTGGTGTGTCCAATTTAGCACAGACCCTGTTTCATATCCAGAACATCCTTCAAGGATAACTTATCCAATCAGACTTGGAAAGACATGAGAATCTCTTAAGAAGAGCTTCACATGGCTCAAGAAAAGGACATTTGACATCTAATATTGAATTGCATGCACTGGAAAATGGAAGGAATAATGGAACGCTCTGCTACCAAGTATTCATACATTTTGCTATTTCACCTTTTGGACAATGATTTCTTCCACTATCCTTCAACCACCGTTTTACCATTTCATAATATTTGGTAGGAAGAACAGGAAGATGTTGCAAGAATAGACACTATTTCTAGATTATCATTTGCTTAATGAGTGAAGCCTTTTCTCACTTTTGGCGGTATGAGTGGTTTCACAGAGGTGATGCCTCTGGGACTACAAGTGTAAAAGTTTGTGTAAATCTTCAAATGCTCCTGGAACACCTCATTTACAGTTCATAGCACCATTTAAATGTACTCCACTGTAGAGTTTTTCAAAAGTCCAAATTCACAGGTCAACTGCAGCATCGCTGACCTTATGTGATGTGTTAAGGGGGAGATGAGGAAGTTAATGTCTTGGCACACAGTAACTAACATGTTGTTTTTTTATGCACTTTATTTTTCAGCACTTATGTGGGGGTTTCCATTTAATCTTTGTCATAAATATATATTAGTTTTTAGAAACTGTTTTTCTGAATTATCACTGCCCAAATGCTGTAATTATTTCAGTGATTTCAATGACTGAGGTGCTCTGTCTTCCCTGTTGTTGCCTAAAGACTCACTATTATTTAAAGCATATTTGGAGACATCGTTCTCTTATTTTTTTTCTTGATTTTTTTTTGTCTCCTCCAATTTTAAAAGTGATTATTATTCAAAGTTTATTTAGTAGCATGAGTAAGCTATTAATTTGTGTAACAATCAAATAAAAGTTGGAGCTCTAACCATATAAGTAGTGGGAGTATAACTACTGTTATGGATGTTAATGTAAAAATGCTTTAATAGGTTATTATGGGTTGTTATGGTGATACTGCAAGCTATGTTTTAGTTGACATGATATATTCTACTGTAATCATAAAGGACATGTACTTAAATCTTGTGTCAATGTGTGCAGACATCTGTGCACTTGGATACAGTGTGTGTTTGCAGGTAGTTTGGCTTTATAGACTGAATTGCTGCCTCAAGGATTGAAGGCACTGTTTGAGGTTTACAGTAGCATATGAAGTACAGTATCTGTAAAGCAGACAAACAAGCAGCCTTCATTCCCGTATGTCTGCCTCAATACTTTATTTCACTCTTTTTCTGAGTTACACGCTGTTGTGACGAATAGAGGTCTGTGTTTAGGAATCTTACTAGTCCTTTTAATTGATTCCCTTTGCTATGTTGAATGCTATTGAAATCAGCAGGGACTCTGCAAGGATTTAGATGATTGCAGCGTAACACGCAATCATGCAAGCTCACCATGAACCCAAATCCCATTCCAAATCCAGACCAACCACCAGCTCCAGTTTCAAGACCCCAATGTGTGTCATGCTAGGCACTCCAGCATGAACTCACAACGACACTATTGTCAGTTGGTCTCATTGCTTTTAGAGAAATCAGACCAACTTTATACTTTCACCTACACCTTTGCACCATTTAACTAGCAGATGCAAAGATAATTAAAGAAAATACTCTTGCTTTGGCAGATTTGTCTTGTTTAGCTTTAAAAAAAAAAATCTGTCCTAAGGTACAGTGCATTATTTATTTATGCATTATTTTGAGCCAACTCTAGGAAGTATTGATCAAAATTCCACCAGATAAAATGACTTAGTGGCTCCAATGAGTTTTTTTTCCACTCCCTGAGACAGGAATATTACTCTCTAATTTATCCCTGTTTGGTTCTTAAGAACCTCTTGGAGTGTTAGCACATGAAGTTAGGTTCATAATTTATGATAGTTTCCACTATTATTGCAGAGACATCTGCCTTCACACACGATCTGCTCTCAACACTCTAAAAGCATTCCTCAAGACAGAAGAGCCCATCTCTGTCGCTCTCTCTGTGCTCTTTCCCCTATCTTCCAATGATACAACTACATTTATGTTGGAAGACTGGATGATCTCTAAGGTCACTCTATTCTTAGCGCTGTTTTGGACTGTTTGGTTTAGCTTTTGCTTTCTAAATTCCATGGTAATTGGGGGATCTCTTGGGATGGAGCCTCACAACATTAGCTCTGACTATAAATAACTGTAACTTAGAAACACACAGTGTACACTTGTACACGGACACAATTTTATCCAAATAAGAGATGTTTTACAGTAGATATATTGGTAATAGTATATTTATCAAACCAAATGTGTGCAATTTTGCTAACAATTTAAGGTGTGAGAAAAGTAAGCTCAGCATGCATATACAGTGTCACACATTGCACTGTTGCTATTGTGCACATTTGATTATGTTATTAATCTGAAAGAGTATAGATTTAATAACAGTACATAATAGCTGCATGCTGAGGTGGTAAAGATGTGGTAAAATACAAAAAGTGCATATTTGTTTTGCATATAAAATACTTTGGTTTGGAGGCAGTTACAATGCATTAGTGGTGGTGTAATCAGCCTTGTTGCAGAATGTGAACTGGCGTTGTGCTTCGCTGTCGGGGGAATACTCTGATCCTAGCTAATGCAGGAACAGCTGTTAGGGATCACAGTCTTAACTACTCACCATATCTGCTCATGTATCAGAAAAAGCAGAGCTTTGCTTATAAAAACATGCCCTATCTTAGTAGCTTTGTAGGAGAAAGAGGTTTAAAATGAGCAGGTTTTAGTTCCTGAGTCAAAACAGTGGACAGTTTACATAACCTATAATTAAGTTCACATTTATAATTTGAAGCATAAATGCATGAAGAAAAGATACCAGCTGTTTTTAGTGTTATAAATATGTCAGTTTTGGACCTTGTAATTTTTTTCAGTAGGTGTTGACCAATTTCCATGTATTTTACGAGAACATGAGCCCTGTTATCGCTCATGCAATGTCATACTCTCTTCTCCTGCTTTGCTACTAGTGGCAAAGAGCACTCTCAAGCCACATTTTCCAATATTTAAGCTGAGATCTGCAAAAACCATAGTAGATGATTCATATAATTTAATTACTGTTCAGTGACCTCTTGTTCCCTAAAGATGGTGACATCGCCATTTTCCTTTAATGTACAGGGTGGGCCATTTATATGGATACACCGTAATAAAATGGGAAT